CACCCCCAGTCCCCCGCCTCTTCCTTTACTCCTTCTGTCCCCAGATGGCCCCTCGGCACTAATGGGATCACCAGCCACCCCGCCTTGGCTGATCTGAACAGGATGCTCAGCGTCCTCATTACCTAGTTGCTCGTGGAGCGGGAGCCCTGCCCCACGCGATTCTGCTGGCTGAGTCTTGAAGGTACAGAGGGCCCCGGGGTGCACTCAGGCTGCAGGGGCCCCTCAGGCCTCCTCCCTCCCCTTTGAGCCTGGTTTCCCCATCAGAACTAATGGCCAGGCTGGGTCCCGGGGAGAGCACACTCCGGCTGGTCCCTGGCTAATGGGGCTGCTGAGCTCAGGAGCTGGAGAGCAAGCAGCAGACACTCAGCCGCAGTGACTCCAGCAGGTCCTCAGGAAGGTCTGGGAGCCCGCCGGGCTGGAGGGGAGGACACAGTCCCTCCCTGGGCGCTGCCCTGAGGGTTGTGCCCCAAGCCTCCAGCCTCCCGCCCTCCCTGAGCCCCATTCCCAGGACGGCCTTGCAGCTCAGAGCCCCTGTGCTTACTTGCAGGCCCGAATTGAAACAGCGGCGGGGGCAGTTCTGCTGGGCAGGGGCCACAAATCAGAAGACAGTGGTGTAGGGTCCCTGGCGGGGGTCTGGCATGCTCAGCCCCTGGAAGTTGCTTTTAAGTAGCCGGATCTTTTTGCTGGTCTTAGCAAATTCTTTTGCCAAACTGTGAGCTGAAGCAAGGCGATGGGGTCTGTGGTGCTCAGCTGCTTAGCCCACGGAGGTGACTGTTGCTGTGTCATGCACCGGGGGCTGGCCCTCCTGTCCCCCACGACCAAAGGGGCCTTGCCTTCTTCCCACCATTTCCTCCCTGGTGCCCATGCCCCCCACACCTCGGTCCCCACCAGCAACAAACCCCACCGCAGCCAGAACCCCACGGAGACGTGAGGGTGAGTGTTCCCAGCCCTGCTCCCAGCCCGGGCGCGGGCCGGGCTCCGGGACACAGGCAACGTGCTCCGGGTCCCCTCCATCCACTCCACGGCGCGCACAGGTGCTTTTTTTAATTATTTAAGGAAAAGCGATTGCAAGGCCGCTTGATACAACTCCCTTAAGCTGCTGTTGGTGTTGACGCCAGGGAGGCCGTGGCCAGCCAGGAATCTGGAACCCGGGAGCCATCTGTGCTCTCGCCACTCCACAGCCAAATTACACCGCCAGCCTTTCTCTGCTGCGCGGTTTCTCATTAACTGAATTGAGTTTACGGGGAGTCACTGGGTCATAAATATTCCCTCCCACTTGGTGTGGTCAGGCTACTGCTGTCTCCAAGCGGAGCTCCCGGATGCGGATGCGGCCTGGGAGTGGGCAGGATGGGGGCACCGGGGCTGCAGGAGACACGGGACCCGCCCCCAGCAGCCTCAGGCTCCGGGTCATAAATATCTTGCTGTTTCTGAGCCAATTGAGGGAAGTCGGGAGGGGCTCTGGGGCAAGATACATAATCACTGCATTCGATTAAGTCTTTTCCTTCCGCTTCCTTCATTTCCTTTGAGAAAGTGGCAGTGACGGGTGGTTGTAAACAGAGGCGAGATGTGCATTTAAAACGGAGACACGTTCATAATGTCCTTTGAAATTGCATGGGATGAAAAATGAACGCACACGCAATTCTAAATACATACACGTGCGCGCGCGCGCACACACACACACACACACACACACACACACACACACAGCGCCTGGAAAAAAAATCCAGAGACACTTTTTAAGCTGTGGTTTGGGGAACAGCTTAAAAAGGGATAAGCCTGTTTATCTGACGGGGGTGTTTAGAGTCAGAGCTGCAGGGGCTGCAGTGCGGGTGTCCCTGAGGGGCAACTGCCCCTCGGCCTCCTGTCGCGATGCTCAGGACAGGTTCGTCCCCCTAAGGAGGCAAGGACAGTGCCCCTTCAGAGGGAGGCGAGCTCGGCTCCCCAGGGTCAGGCCCACCCCCAGGTCCCTCGTGGAGCCATCCCTGGGGAAGCTCATCTCCCAGAAGGTGGCTGCCCACTGCCAGGTGATCCTTTGTCCTCTAGAGTCTAGACCAAGAGCTGGCAAACCTCAGCCTGTGCCGCATCCGGCCCTCTGCCCTTTTTGTACATAAAGTTTTATCTGCACTCGTCTACACCCATTTGTTTATGAGTCGGTCTTGCTGCTCCCAAGTGACGACAGAGCTGAGAGATTGTTAACAGAGATCGGTGACCTGCACAGCTGGAAGCATCTATACTGCTTGGTCCTTTGTGGGCAGCTCGCCAGCCCTGCCCTAGACCAGTGGTCCCCTCAGTCTCCCCTTTCCTCTCGCTCTTGGCCTTAGCTCGCAGGTAACTAGGACACCAGGGCTGTCTGATTTCCTCCCCTTGACCGAGGGCTCGCCGTCCTGAGCCTGGCTTCTGCAATCCTTGCCTGGCTTCTCTGACTCCCAACTCCTTTGGGACGGCTGCAGCGCCTCCTGCACGGGACCCAGTCCTGGGGGCCACCGTGACCCTGTGGCATAGAGGGACAGGCTCCCGGAACGCGGGGTTTGCATGTGGAGACGTCTTCAGGGTCTAGACAGCAGAGGAGGGGGAGGAAGGACCCATTTCAGCCCGTCCTCGTTATGCTTGTTTGTCCCACTCTTGAAGCTCCCAGGCACAAGGGACTCTACTAGCCAGGCCAGCGTTGGCTTGAGGCGAGTTCCGGCTGCCCTGGGGCCAGGTGCTGGGTCTCCCGGGTCCCCAGCCTCCTCTCCCGAAGCCCAAGGCAGGGACACGGGGGTGGGGGAGCACCTTCCTCAGATCACATTTGTTTCCTTGTTTGCTGCTTGGGGGCCGACAGCTTTTTCCCTCTTCCTAACTAACCCTTGGAATTACCGCTGTTATAAGGCATTCCACGTGCATTTTACCTGGTCGGGGGTACGCGTGTCTGACAGGAGGGAGATTTTGGTTTGAACTGACTGGAGGCGGCCGAAGCTCAGAGCATGTGGCCTCCGCTCCTGAGCAGCTGGGGGCACCGTGGTGGACCACGGTCGAGTGGGGGGCTGCGACTCCGTGGGGAATGCCAGAGGCTCCCACTGCGGGGATGCAGCAGCCTCACCTTCCCCCGCATCGGGGTGAGAAGACCCCCTTCCCTGTCTCGTGAGAGAATTTCTAGGGAGGATGGGGTAGGCTCAAGGCGCCCTGCGTGGTGTGGGGTGACTGGCCCGCGGGCTCAGTGGTTTCTCTCCTGCCCACACGCAGTGCACATGCCGGAAGGACATGGTCAAGATCTCCATGGACGTCTTTGTGCGCATCCTGCAGCCGGAGCGCTACGAGCTGTGGAAGCAGGGCAAGGACCTCACGGTGTTGGACCACACACGGCCCACGGCCCTGAGCAGCCCCGAGCTGAGCACCTGGAGCGCCTCCCGGGCCTCACTCAAGGCCAAGCTCCTGCGCAGGTGAGCCACCCAGCGAGCCCGGCCCGCGGCTCCCCGCTGGCGGGGCTGCAGGCTGTCCACCCACCTCTCTCCCCTCCCCTCCCTCCTCCACTTCTCCCTCCTGCAGAGGCAGAGTGTTTCTCGGGTCTAACTTCCTCCGCGGGCTGTTGGGGACTCACCGCCGTCGCTGCCTGTGTTGTCAGGGGACTCAGGCTCCCACCCACTCCTTGTCTACCAACTCCTGGGAGGTGGGCCCTTTTTGCCCTCTCAGGACCCCACACACTGTCCCTCTCAGGCTTCCGGCTCACTATCGCGCCATCCCCGGTGCGAGAGCCCCATTTCTGCGTCGGGGCCGCGTGGTCCTTCTTGACTCTGAGCTATGGCAGGAGCCGTGGGGCACAGGCCCCGAGCTCCCTCCATGAGAGCCGCGCCCCTGCCCCTTTGCATCTGTAGATGCTTGTTCTGGTGCCTCGGATAACGTGTTGCTTGAATCCGTGGACACGGAGGTGACTACAGAGACCTGTCCCCCGGATGCCCTCTGCCACCCCATTCCATCTCAGAGGCCCCCCTCCCGGCCCACCTTCCACCCAGCGTGGTCCCTGCCCGGCCGCTGCCTGGTGTCTGGCGGGGAAGGAGCGGGCAGAGTGGCCGCCCCCTCTTGGCATCTGCGCCGAGGCCACAGGGATGTGGGTGGTGGAGCTGGGGAGTGAGGGGCAGTGCCGTGCGGCCTCGGAAGCGTCCGACTCCATCATGCTCTTTCTCTGGGAAACGTCCAGGCTCTCAGGTCCTGAGCTGTCTGTGGACAGGGTTCAAACAGATTCCTTCTTGGTGCCCAAGGAACGGTCGGCAGGTCCTAGCTGGGCCTGGGGTATGGCTGGGGTGGGCGGGGCGGCCCAGAGCATCCTCGTGTTGGTATTAGGGCTTCAAGGGCTCAGGAGGCTCTCCCTTGACCACTTGGCTCCATGGTGGTTGCCCTGGACAGTAAGACATTCCGTAAACAATGAGCGTGGCGAGTCTCAATAAAACTTTATCTATGGACACTGGAGTGGGAATTTCATATCATTTTTATGTGCCACAAAATGTTATTATTCTTTTAACTTTTTTTTTTTTTTTTTTTTTTTGGCGGTATGCAGGCCTCTCACTGTTGTGGCTCTCCCATTGTGGAGCACAGGCGCCGGACGCGCAGGCTCAGTGGCCATGGCTCACGGGCCCAGCCGCTCCGCGGCATGTGGGATCTTCCCAGACCAGGGCACGAACCCGTGTCCCCTGCATCGGCAGGTGGACTCTCAACCACTGCGCCACCAGGGAAGCCCTCTTTTAACTTTTGAACCATTTAAAAACGTAAACATCATGCTTAGCTTGTGGGCGGCACAAACAGGCCGCAGTCGGATCTGGGCCTCAGATGAGGTTTCTGTCTGTAGCCCTTGGTCACTGCTGGCGGGTCTTGTCCCCATTGGTCAAGGACGGTGCCTCCCCCAGGACCTGGTCCCTGAGGGGTGGGGCCTTGGCCAGTGTGTTCCTTGGGCAGTGCATCCTTGGTGGCACCCCAGCGCTCTGCAGAAACTGGGAGAAATCATCCTGGCCAAGCGGTCACTCCCAGCCCAGAACCTTCTCCCCGCTGGGCCTGTCCTCCTTTCTGCGCACCCTCATCCGCGTGTTTTCCCCACCTGAGGCCCCTCTCTGAGAATGTTCTCTCAGCTCCAGGGTGCTTTCCCATCTGCTCCTGACAGCCCGCTTGAAGGTGTCTCTCTTTTCTGATTTCTTTTGTTGTCTCTCCTTTTGACTTTCTGCTCTCCTGTGTGTTCCTCACGAAAAGCACCTTCTCGGTGAGGCTGATCTGCTGCAGCTCCCGCTCTTTCCCGGTCTTTCCCGAGGGAGGGAGCGGAGTGATCCTGCATTTGCATAATGGTTGACTGGTGATGGCTCAGACTAATTGGTCAACAGAGTGACAGCCAAGGACTGGGGCCTCATTCCAGGATGGAATGGGATTAGAGGCTGTCAGACGAGTCTGCCCAGAGGACAGGGACCCGGCAGCCGGGCCTTGGCCGGAACCTTCTGTACACAAAGAGCCCCATACCCCCTCCCTGTCGCCTCATCATGTTGCACAGCACACCTCCTTTCTGGATTGTCCCTCTCTCCCACCTCCCCTCCCTGTGTGCAGACCTGGGACTGAATAACAAATTAAGTCGTGTTCCCAAGGATGCAATTTTCTTTAAAGCCTTTAGTATGTAAAATAAGGCTGATTCCCCCACCTTTTTAAAAAGTCATTGGTTGTGGGGGCTTTCTCTTAAGAGGCTGATTGGGGACTCACGTTTGGAGGCCCAATGCCAAGCTGGAAGCCGCTGCCCCCGCCCCAGCCCCAGTGGCAGTGGCCCTCAGGAGTCCCTTGTGACTTTCTCTCCTGGCCACGTGGCCAACCTGTCCTCGCCCAGCTGTGCCTTGTCTCCAGGGCTGCCAGCTCCCCTGAGCCTCCCCTGTTGGAGAGTTGGTTTGGGGGGAGGGGCAGCACCCACCCTAGCATCCTTGACTCCGGCCGGATAGGGGATGGGGGCAAATCTGGCTCTGTCCCTAGACCAGGGTCTCCCCTCAGCACTGCTGACATCCTCTGTGGGCACTGCTGACATCCTCTGTGGGCGGCTGTCCAGGCATTGTGGGGGGTTGAGCAGCTGCCCCACCCCCGCCCACTTGATGCCAGGAGCAGCCCCCCAGTGAGATGACCACAGATGTCCCCAGACATCTCCCAGTGTCCCTCCCCAAGGGCTTGGCATTGGGGTGGGCTCCTCGTCTGCCTGCTGTGGGCACCCTCCCGCGCCCCCATCCCTGTGCCGCCTTGCCTTCTCCTCTGGGATGCTGCATCCGTTCCTTGGTCCTCACTCAGATGGGCTCAGCCAGGCCCCCGCCCCTCGAGGGCCCAGCCTTCCTGATGGCCCCCTCCCTGCACCCCGCCCCAGATGTCACCTCAGAGCAGAGGCAGGTAGGTGTTGGCTCCTTTGGGAGAAAAGGACGCCCTCCCGTGGATTTTCCTTCCACGCCTAGATCTTGTCAGGTGAACTGGCCCCGCCCCGTGCCAAACAGGGCCCGTAACCTGTGACCTTCTCGTCTGTGCTGCGTGGCCCCCTCGCCATCGCCGCCAGGTGGGACCCCTGCCCAGCTGGCGCCTTCGCCTTGCTCCCCTCCCCCGCTCCTGCCCGCCTGCCTGAGCAGCCTTTCTCCATATGCAGGCTGCGTTTTCTTCTCGGCTCCTGATTATTTTCAAGGAGAGCTTCAAGGAATGCTCCGCATTGCCCACGTGTTCCAGCAGGTGTGCGCTCTGCTGGACACTCACACGCACCCTGTGCAGAGCATCTGAGCAGCCGGGCTTGGAGGGAAGTGGGGGAGGGGAAGTGTGCTCCTTTCCAGACCCACGGGCCCCCGTCCCTCCCCAGCTTCTGCTGCTCCCCCTGGCGGGACCTCCAGCTGCCCACGCAGGAGGCTAGAGCCCGCTAGCCCTGCTCACCCAGCCCAGCAGCTCCCGCCCACCACCTCTCCACCTCCCATCCTCGGTCACCATGGAAACAAGGAGCCAGGGAGCACATCCCTGCCCCCTCTGCTGCCCCCAGACCCACCAGGAGCCAGTCTGGTCTCCCCTCTCCCCCTGTGCCTGATGCCCTGGCCAGGCTGTACACGACTGCACCTCCGACCCACTCCTTCCAGCCACCCTGACCCTGCCGCGCTCCTGAGCCCTTTCCCCCGGCGCAGCTCCTGTCCGCTCAGAAGGGGCCATGACTATGGGCCCTGCCAGCCCCTGCGGCCCCAGGAGCTTGTTGTCCCTGTGACTTCACCAGAAAACCCACTGAAGGCCACACCTACTCGCCGTGGGTCAGGGAACGCTGGAGGAAGGGGCTGCGACTCCTGGCCAGGAAGCCCCAGATCTCCCCCCCACCCCGGGGAGTCAGAAGTTCTGGGCAACAGCCCCACCTTGGGATACCCAAGGGGCTGTGTGCCCTGGGCCTCTCAGTGAGCCCCCTCACTCTGCCTCTCCTGCCACCTGAGGTCCAAGGACACCTGCTCCCATCTTGGAAATATCAGTGTAGGGATTTGGACTCAGTACCAATACTTGATTCTTATCATCTTCGCCAAGTGACATCCCGTTAAGCCTGACAAGTAAAGTGCACGTTTATGTCCACCCTCCTCTGAAACGCCATGAAAACGACTGTAAAGGAGGGACAGGGAAGAGGAGAGGGGATGAGCAGCATCGGCAGACTCTGAAGGAAGGAAAAGAGGGGCAAGTGACACCTGACTTTGCAGCACAGAGAAAACTCGAGTCCGTGGACCTGCAGACGGGGAGCGGGCTGGTTCACGCCACAAGGCCTGGGACTCAGGCACGGGCACCTGCTGGGGCGGGGACCGCGCTGTGCTGGAGCCATCGCTGAGCTCAGGGCCTCCTCCTCCACCCCATCCCCCAGCAGAAGGCGTGCGCTGGCCCTACTCCTGGGGAGATCGGACCTGCCAGCCTCACATATCCCCAACCGCAGGGCTGGGCCAGAGTGGCCCAACGGAACAAAGCCACACATGTGATATCGGGGGTCCCCCATGAAGTGACAGGGCTCCCACCTGCCCGCTCCCCTTCTAGGAGCCCTGCTCACACACAGCTACCAGCGAACATCTTAGTCCCTTGTACGTCACAGCCAGGGGTCCCTAAACCCCTGAGGAAACTCAGTGTGAAAGAGTCTCAAACAAAAAAAAGAAAAGCGGGACTCCACAGGAGAGGCCACGCGGTGAGCAGAAGAAAACTAACTTCTGCGAGAGGGCAGGTGACTTGGCATTTATGGAAGAACTTGCTGTATAAACAAAAAGGCTTTTAGGAAAGAGATGGCTCTTGGATATTTAAAAGGGAGCAAAGGACTTCCCTGGTGGCGCAGTGGTTGGGAGTCTGCCTGCCATCGCAGGGGGCACGGGTTCGTTCCCTGGTCCGGAAGGATCCCACATGCCATGGAACAGCTGAGCCACAACTGTTGAGGCTGTGCCTCGTTGTGCACCACAACTACTGAGCCTGTGCCCTGGAGCCTGCAAGCCACAAGTGCTGAGGTCCACACACCTGGAGCCTGTGCTCCACAACGAGGGGGGGCCGCCGCGGTGAGAGGCCCGCACACTGTGGCGAGGAGTGGCCCCCACTCGCTGCAACTAGAGGGAGCCCATGCACAGCAATGAAGACCCAATGAAACTAAAAAAAAAAAAAAGATTTTAAAGAGAGCAAAGAAATGTAAGAGGTGGGTTGGGAGCCAGCTTGCGGAAATCTAGAATGCAGACTTTTCAAAACTCAGGTTAAACAGAAGATTGCAAAGCCTCTGGAACAAACAGGTCAATAGGGCCCAAACAGCACTGGACTTGGCGATCATGATGCTACAAGCTAATAGACAAAGGACAAGGGTCTTAAAGGTCAGGAGAGCAATCATTTCAGCCCAGAAATACCCAGCCAAATTACCAACTTCATATGGGAAGGGAATAAAGATCTTTTTAGACAAGCAAAGTCCCAGGTTCCCCCTCCTTTCTGCGAAAGCTGCTGGAGGATGTGCTCCAGATAAACAAGGGCATCAGCCAAGGAAGACATGGGATCAAGGAAACCAGATCCAACTCAGGAGAGTCCAGGGCAGTCTCGAGATAAGAGGAGGGCCTCAGGGTGTCATTGAGGAGCATGTGACCCCTGCTTGGGAGGCCACACCAAGATCTTGGAGAAAACCAGGAAAGCTAAGCGTCTAAGAGAGGGGGCCAGTTACTGACTCCAGAAGGAGCGAGCAAAGAATGCAGTGCGAGCAGCTCTGTTGCTCACGGATGAACTATATTTACAGGATCAGAAAAATGTAATATAGAATCTCACCACAACCAAAATGGGAGAGAAGCCAGGAGGGGTTGAGGTGGGCAGGATGGCTACAGCCTAAGTGTCTGTGCTGGCAACTCAGCAGAGAAGCCAGAACCAAAAAACAGCAGCAGCGTGAGGAGACACATGGAAGTCAGTACAAGAAGAAATGGCTAAAAGAGGGGAAGGCATCACATCTGGGGAGTGGGCCCAGAGGATGCTGTTACGGCCAGACTGCGATTAGGGTGTGCGCACAGCTCCCCACAGCTGTCAGCAAGTCAACCCCAGATTCCCCCGGTGTTATCTCCCAGCTTATGTTCTCACAGAACAGATCCTCCTTTGCATGCCGACGTTCACCTCGCTTTCCCCTCTGCAGTAGGGCCTGTCCCTTCGCCTACGTCTCTGCACCTAGTTCCACCCGTTCGTGGGGTGGGGGTGGGGTCCCTGCGTCAGTGCGGCCCGGTGGCTGCTGGAGGTTTGGTGCTGGGGGCAGGGCTCTGAGCCCACTGGTGTGTTGGGGGCCGAGGAAGGCCTGGGCTCTCTGGGGACCCTGAGGCGGGCAGGGGCAGAAGCGGCCTCCGGGCCAGTTCCGGGTTGGTGGGGGTGGGGGAGGGCCGGAGAGGGGGTGAGGAGCGGGGCAGCTGCAGGAAACCGAGGCCAGGTGAGTTGGCGGTAGGAGGGTGCCCCTCTGCTGGGTGCTGGGGCCAGCATGGGGGTTCGCTTGTGGGCACCCGGCCCTGCAGCATTCCCAGACCCCGAGAGAAGCCTCCCGATGACAGCTGGGGAAAAGCCCGGAGCTTCCCGCCTGTGTCCGTGTCGGGGCTGCACCCGGCGTTTCCCAAACTCGCTCGGTGTGGAGAGTGTACCAGGGGAGGCCTGAGTCTTTCGTGCGCCCTCCCGCCCCCATCTGTTGCCGACTCCCCCGCCCTGTCCCCGCCCGCCTGTCCTCCTGCACCCCTCCCCCTCGCAGTGCGCCCTTGCACGCCATGCTGTGTGTGATGCCATGCCTCTGCCCATGACGCGCCCTCCCCGGAATGCTCCCTGCTTTCCACCTTTGGTCATCAGGGTGGTTCATGCTGCAGACATCAAGTAGGGCTTGTCGTGTGCCAGGCATTGCCTGGGCTCAGGGCACAGAGCCAGGGGCCCTCAAGTTAGGCAGCTGAGCAGCAAGGGACCGGCAGTGGTTAGCGGTTAGCGTCAGGGGACAGTTAGAAGGAGGCACCCCAGGAGCCAGCAGCGTCGGGCAGGGAGGCAGCAAGGAAGCCATGAGCCCCCAGTGTCCTGCTGCAGACGCCCCTGGGAGGAGATGCAGGTCCTGGCATCTGGAGCCCTTGAGGCCTCCCTGCCCACCCGTCCCCAGTCAGACAGCCCTGCTTCCCCTTGGTGAGCGCTTGGTCCTTGGAGGTGTGGCTGTCAGGGACCCTGTAGGGTCTCCTATAAGGTCTTGGTGTCTGACCCCACTGGGGCCACATGGAGAGCTCCCTGGGGGAGGGAAGCCGTGGCCAGCGCCAACAGCTCTCTCCAAAACAACCTCTTGGCTCTGAGACCCGGAGCCTGTGGCTGTCCTGGTGTCCCCTGCCCAAGGCTGAGCCTCTCCACCGCCCTGGCCCCTGCATCAGCTCCCGGGTCAGTCACACACCTCCCGAGGTCTCAAAGCTGCACTGCCCCCTCCCTGGAAAGTTTCCAGGAACCAGCAAGGACTTTCCACCAGGACCCGGCAGGGGTGCCCTGGCCACTAACCTGCAGCCCCCCTCCCTTTGTCGCTTTCCTTTCTTCCTTTTTAATCCCAGTTCCCCCTCATTTTCACTAAGAAGCCACAGCTCACCCTCAGCTGGGATTCTCACTTGGGGCCCGAGGACCGCCCTCCATCCCGTCCGGGGACTGTCGCAGCCCCTGAGGCCGGCGTGGGCAGGAGGTGAGGGGGGCCGGGGCGCAGCTTAGAGAAGGGGCCGCCGCGGGCTCTGGGCTCGGAGCTCCTGCAGGTGGAGAGGATGCAGGGGGAGCCCGGGGCCCCGCGAGGCCCTGCGGCGAAGCGTCTAGGGAGTTAACACGAGTCCTAGAGAAAAACCCCCTGACGTTTACGTTCTAGACAAATTAGTCTGAAAGAAAACAGACACTGGAAAAAGGCTGAGGAGGAGAGGAAACCCAGTCTAGAGAGGAAGAAAGAGCAGACCAGGAGGCCGGGGCTGCCGTAAGTGCACCTTGCGTCTGTCGCGCAGGCATTTTCCACGAGCTTCCGTTTCCATCTGAGCCCACGCTCCCCGTGTCTCCCACCCCACCGCACCGCACAGAGGCTCCTGGAACCCGTCCGTCCCGCCATCCCATCTCCAGCTGCCATCGGCACGCGCTTGACACCCCCCTTGCCATCCCCTCCCCTCCCCCAGGCCTCCCTCCCTCCACCGCCCCTGCCCCCAGGAGCCAACCCCACCCAGGGCCCCCGCTTCCCCGGGCCTCCTGGGGGGCTCTGTCTGCTGGACAGGGCGCGCAGCCCAGGGCTTCTCCCCTCCGTTGTTTCGCCTCCCATCTGATGAGCCTCCCTCTCCAGGTCTCACCGGAAGCGGAGCCAGCCCAAGAAGCCCAAGCCGGACGACCCCAAGTCTCCTGGCGAGGGGGCAGCTGGGACGGCCCTCCTGGACGAGGCTGGTGGCGGCATGAAGGAGGAGGCCACACCAGAGGCCGACCCCGAGGAGGAGGAGGAAGAATCCCAGCCGCTGCTGCAGGGCCGGGAGGCCGAGGGCTCCGAAGGTCAGTCCTGCTCGGTGCCTGTGCTGGCCGGGCCCCACGCCTTCAGAATCCCATCCATGTGTCTTGTGGGCAGGGAGGGCGTTTTCTAAAAATTTGCGTTCTGGGAGTGCTGTGAGAAGTCCCTCTTCTCGCAGAAATTGAAGTCCATCCAGCTGCTGAAACGGAATCCACAGGTGGGCAGCTTGAAACAACGGGCTTTATTCCTCGGTGCTGGAGGCTGGGAGATCAGGGTGCTGGTGTGGCCTGGTGCTGGCGAGGGCCCACCTCCCGGTTTGTATGTGACCCTCTGTCACTATGTCCTCAAGGGGAAGAGAGAGCCAGTGAGCCCTCTGGCCTCTAAGGTCACTGATCCTTAGCCAGGGCCCCACCCTCATGACCTAGTCACCTCCCAACCAGCCCACTGAGGGGCGGGGTTCAGCATGAACTTGGGGGGACACAGACACTGAGTCCGTAACAGAGGTGTTCTCTGCTCGGTTGGGAAAGGGGATGGCCTGCTGTTTGCAGCCAGATGCTGGACGTGCCTGCGGTGGGGATGCCCCACCTGTAGGCTGGCGTTGAACAAAAAAAATGTATCTGGGCACCATGGTGGGTGTGTCTCAGAACCGTACCCTTTACACTGCCTGGGGCCCTTTAGTCGCGGAACATCACTCCGTGAGCGTTTGAACGTTCCCCACTCCCATGTTTCATGGTGCTCCTTTTTCTTTTCCACGGCTGGTTTCATTTTCCTAATTTGCAGCTTCAGCTGCTCACACGTTTGCACCTAGCAGCTGCCCCCCAGGTGTAAAGGAGGGGCCGGGTGGGGCTGGGGGGCTGGTGGCAGACTGCCAGGCAGCAGTGCCTCCGGCCCCCATCACAGGCCATAGGTCGCTGGAGGGTTCCTCTTCAGGACTGTGTCTTGGAGCAGGTGAGCCAGCACAGCTCTGCCTGGCTTGGGGTCAGGCCCTCCCCGGGGTGCTCGTGGCTGGTTGTCACAGATGATGTGGCATTTGAGGTGACTGTCCACCAGGCACCGACGTTCCCATGTGCCGGAAGGGGGAGTGTCCCTGCGGGGGGCCCCCAGGAGCTGGAGGCAGGGAAGACTGGAAAGTTTCCTGGGTAAATTGCGTGCTGGCCTGTCCCAGACAGCCTGGCATGCCACTTGCCTGGTGGGCATCATGAAACAGCCCGCTCCACACGGGAGGGTCTGGACAGTCCGGGGAGGCAAGACACAGGCGGCGGGGGGCGGGGAGGGGGTGTGCGTCGGCACAGTCTGTGCGCAGGCACAATCACCCCGTGGAAGTGGACCCCGAGGCTGAGGCCTGGTGACGCAGGGAGCTAGCGGAGTTGCCAGAAACAGGCTGGACACACAGAGCCGCCCCACACTTGTCACATATGGGTGTTCACAGAACACGTGGTTTTGAAGAAAATCCTAACCTATCATGAGAACATCCAGAGGGTGATGCAAGCTGGAGCAGATGTAACAGAAAATAAAAGACCTTCATGGAGAAAATTAAGAGACGTTTTTGAAAGACAAGGAGGAGCTCTAACATAAACGGGGCTGCATGTGTTAGGGGGGCTCCCTGCAAAGGTGCTGGCCAGCGGCCTTGGGGGATGTTGATTTCGATGCAGCCGGAGGGAGCAAGGCCCGAGGAAGAGGGGTCAGGAGAGGTCAGGGCTACGTGACCGGCCAGCGGCTTGCAGGCAGGAGCAAGGACACTGTCCTGGGCTGCAGTGAAGGCCACTGCTCTTCCCCGGGGCGGCCCTCACATGCAGCCCCGAATGTCACACGGGCACCCACACCCCATGTCCCGTTGACTTAAAGTTCAGAAAACACGCCAGGCAGACACTGGACTGTTTAGGGAAGCATCCGAATCTGCTGGGGCTGCCGTGCGACAAAGTACCCGACACAGGGCTTCAGGAACCGAGGTTCATTGTCTCTCGGTCTGGAGGCCGGAAGTCCGAGGTCAGGGTGTGGGCAAGGCTGGTTCCTTCTGAGACCGCGAGGGAGGGTCTGTTCCAGGCTTCTCTCCTTGGCTCGTAGACGGCCACCTTCACGCTCACACGGCCTCTCCCTGTGTGCCAGTCTGTCTGCATTTTGCCTTTCAGAAGGACACCGGTCACATTGGATGAGGGCCCACCCTAATGGCCTCATCTTATTAACTCATGACATTAGCAATGACTGTTTCCAAATGTGGCTGCATTCTGAGGCCCTGGGGTTAGGACTTCCACCTAGGAATCTGGGGGACACAGTTTAGCCTGTAACAGAGTAAACGTGCCAAAACCAAGAGGGGCTCCCTCGGAGCGGGTGGTCTGCAGCTGGGAGGGGCACGTGGTCCTTCCGGCTCTGTGCCTGTGCCGTGAGTGCTCCGGGCCCCAGTTCTGTGGGGCGAGTCGGAGCATGGGCTGCGGTGGGTGAATGAATGATGGACCCTCTGCCGTGAGCTCCGGGATCCAGGGCCCCGAGTCCCATCAACAGGTGAGGCGTTTGCATCTGACTCCAGAGTCCATGGAGCTGAGCTGTAGGGAGGTTAGGACAGTGGTTGTTGACATGGCTAGGTTGGGGTTCTGGCCCAAGAGGTTGGTAGACTCGGCGGGTGTCCCTGGTGTGACTGGCAAGGACTGGGGTGGTGACCACCCTGCCCCAGGGTGGGCTGCGTGGGGCGGGGCAGGAGCAGGCTGGGCTCTGCACCCGGGCCGCCCCAGGTGGCACCTTGCAAAGTTGCCAGGGGGCATCGGTGCTCTCACGGGGGCGGGGTAAGTGGGAGAAAAAGCAGGTGGAAATAAAGAGTCCAGGTTGAAATTTGGGGACCCGGGCCCTGGACGCCGCCTCGGCAGGCCAGTGGGGATGTTGGAGGGTAAAAGGAGAGGACGCACACCCCGCTCGGGGCCTGTGGGAGGACGCTCATCCCAAGGGTCTTGGCTTCAGCCCGAAGCGGCTTTTCCCAGGAGTGGAGTCAGCCCGTCGGGGGCCAGCCAGGGCGGGGGCTCCTGGGCCCGACCAGTTCAGACAGTCCCAAGAGACAAGGGTTTTAGTGGGACCCCTCCTGGGAAGGGTGGGAAGGATGCCTTGCGACCATGGGCATCTCTCCTCCCTCTCGAGCAGGCGCAAGGGGCCGCCGGCCTGAGGCTGGATGCAGGGCAGCCAGCAAGAGTAGACGCACTGTTTACCCAACTGCTTAGCAAAGGAATAATGGCTCTCTTTTCATTAATTGAGTTGAGTTAAAATGAACTTTCGCCCAAACCCATCGACTGTTTATAGAGACAGCCGCACCCCCCATGCCCCGTCACCTCCTGCTTGGACCTGGCCCCGTCACAGGGACACTGTGCCTCGGTGTCTCGGGATCCCAAGAGCTGGCCTCAGGCTCACGCACGGCGAAGGCCCGGTTCCTCTCCGGTTTTCCCTTTTCTAAGCAGGTTGTTACCTAAACGGGGCGGGGTGGGGGGTGGTCTCTGTGTCCACTGAGAGTAAAACATGCTGCTGTAGACCAAACCCTGCAGGAGGTGTGCCCTCCTTCCTGGCATCTGCAGCCACTCTGTCCCCCTTCCAGGGCCTCAGCCCAGGACCCCCAGGGCTTCTCCAAAAGGGCTGCAGGCTCTGTGCTCTGTGGTGGGCTCAGTGTCACGTGGCTGTGGACCCCCAGGCAGAGCGGGGACGTTCCCAGGGAGGCGTCTCTGCTCACGGCTGGCTGCTTCCCTTTTCCAGACACCCCGTCCCTGTTCCACTCCAGAGCCTGGTTCCCAAGAAGGAGGAGTTGGGATGTTGGGACATCTCCCGGAACATCAACCCCTCTAGAGGGGAAGGGGTCCCTTCAGGGGACAGAAGGAGGCTGCCACAGCTGGGGAGCCACGCGCCCCAGTCGGGGGCTGTCCCTTGAGCCCTTGGAGGAAGATCGCTCTGAATGCATCAAATAAATAAGTGCTCACAGTCGGGGGTGACAGCAAACACGCCTGGGGAACGAGTGGAAGATGTTAAAGTGGTTTCTAGACTCCCTTGAACGCCAGCTTCATGCTCCTCAGAGCTGTGAGTGTGAGGGGCGTTCGGGCGTGAGGACAGGACATTTTGTTTTAGGTTTGCGTCGGGAAGGGCGTGTGCTTGCCGCCGCCGCTCACGTAGGAAGCTCCCTGACTGGAGTAGGCGGAGAGGCGGGCAGGATGGAGGTGCCTGGACTCTACAGGGGCAGGAGGGGGCCCGGCTGGCTGCGGGTCCCTTGGCCTGGGGAGGGGGGCTGCTTCCCTTCCTGGCTGCCAGGTCCCGCCAGCTCCCGCTGCCAGGGGTCTGCAAGAGCAGCTGCCCTGTGGCCTGGCCCAGGATGGGACCAGCACCCTCCAGCACAGCAAGCCCTGCTCCCGGCGGGAAGGCAGCCCGTGTCCACCTGGCTTGCTGGGACCTCAGGGGCTCCTTCCTCCTGCCTGGCCCTGGCCAGCTCTGGCCAAGCACGGCCACTGTCCCTTCTGGCAGCTCTGGAGCTGGGGGTGGCAGGGGCAGCGGCAGGGCCCCAGGAGGGCTGGTCCCAGAGTACGTGGTCCCCCGCAGGGCAGAGCAGGGCCGGGGATGGGTGTGCAGCCGCCCTGGGTCACTTCCACCTCCCTCACGCGCCTTTTTTGACGGCTTTAGGACAAGACCCCGGGGCGGGGCGGCTGCACCCAGCGGTGAGCAGCAGGCTGGGCGGGGCACTGACACTCAACGCCACAGTCCACTGGCCTGGGCTTCGCTCAGGACGGATGCGGGTTGGCTGGGCCAGGCAGGGCAGGGTCCCTAAGCCAGGCAGCAGCCCTGCGCCCCCTGCTCTCCCCTGGGAGAACTTTGGTGGGAGAGGAGGCATGGGGGCCCCGGAAGCTGGCGCGGCTGTAACATCCATCGGCAGTGGGAGGATTCTTGGCTGTGCCCCCCCCCCAAAAAAAACAAGTGCCAGATGGGCCTCAGCAACCCTGCTGGGGCAGAGGGGGTCCCTGCCATTCTGTGCCCCCTTGCACACCGGGGGTGGTGAGAGGCCCTGTGTGCTAGGGAGGGACCCGGCTCGGGTCTGAGCCACCGTTCCAGCTCCATTTCGAGGCTCCTTCAGGCGGGCCAACCAAGGGGCTTTCCAAGTGCGGCCTGCCTGCCCTAGGCCTGCGGTGGTCCCCACGGCGTGAGGACAGACAGGGCCTGGGTCCCCCAGCGTCCCTAGTGCCCTTGGGCTTGTCCCCTAACAGGGTCCTCTGGGTGCACCCCCGTCAGCTTCCCAGGGCCTAGTGGCCGTGAGGAAGGAGCCAGGGACGTTTCCTTCCCCAGCAGCATCTGGAGCCGGGGCAGCTCGCAGGCTCTGCTGTCCTGAGGCCCAGGAGGCCGTCGTTGGACTTCCATTCGGGTGGCCGCGCTGTCAGGGAGGAGGGCATAGTGGATTTCCTTAGAGAACAAAGCCGTTTCTCCGGAAGTTCCTGCTGCCGTGTCAGGACGGGGCTCTGGGCTGCCTCAGCGCCATTTCTATAAATCAGTAGAAGGGGCAGGAAAGAGCCTGATCTCCTGGGCCCTTGGTCACCTCCTGGGGCTGGGCTGCTGTCACCAAACCTTATGAGCAGTGTTTCCCCCACACCTCTCCCTGCCCCCCGTCTCCTGGGACAGGGAGGTGACCTTTAGTGGCCAGGACCATCCAAGTCCAGCATCTGTAGAGAAGAAGCAGCTTTGTCTGTGGAACGCCCGTTTCCTTTCCTCGGCCGGATAACTGCTCCTGGGGTGCTGGCAGCTGGGGGGTCCTGGGGAGCGTGCTGGGCTCCTCCAGGTGGGCAGAGGCACAGGAGGGGTCCTGACTGCACCCTTGCCCTTGGAAGGCTCAGGGCCAGAGGGCATGGGGGGGCGCTGGCAAGCGCTCCCTCCTCTGAGCCTCTCTTGAAAAGCTCGGCTGCCTGCTCAGGACCCTGCAGGCTGCAGCGACCAGAGGGGCACCTCCACGAAGACCAGGCTGGCTCAAGCCTCTGCAGCTCGCCCAGTGGGGGCCGCGGGTGGGGGTCGGCTCCCTCCTAGCGCTCAGGGCCGGGGATCTGCCTGGAGGAAGGGAGGGAGGGCGGGCCCTTGCTTGACCCCTTCCTGGGTCAGGGCCGGTCAAGGACTAAGTGATGGCCTTGCCCTTGGGAGCATCATCCCACCTGTGTCGTTATCTTTGGCTGAGGGACGGGGGTGAAACACGGACAGGTTTTTATAGCAAGAGGTAAGTGTGGATGCCACGGGGACCAGCAGACCCTGTCACGTGTCACGTGGTAACAGGTTTAGCCTGGAGAAGGACCACTGCTTTTCTGCGAGTTGTCCTTACTTTCCCGGCCCTCAGAGACCCAGACTGTGGTGCATTGGAACCAGCGGTTCACGGGTACCATCAGTAGGATGACCAGTACGCCCCCGGGTATCAGCTGCTGTCACACCTCATGTGACGTCCTGAGCCTGTGGGGACCCGGGACAGGCAGTGAGGGCCTGAGCTCGTGTGCCCATTCTCCAGGTGGGCAGGGAAGGCCCAAAGGCTGTGCTCTTGAGCCGCTGGTCCTTGTGGGCGGGCATCCCTGAGGCTGTGCACACCTCGCCCTGAGCACAGCAGGCCTCGTGGAGCCCCCCGCCCACATGCATCCCCAGTGGCTGTGTGATGTGACCACAGAGACCCAGTGGCTGAAAGCAACAGGCTTATTCTCCGACGTTTCTAGGGGTCAGGAGTCCGACATGGGTCCCACTGCACTAAAATCCAGGCACGGGCAGGGCTGGCTCCTCTGGAGGCTCCAGGGGAAAATCATTCCCTGCCTGTTCCAGCTTCTAGAGGTGCCGCATCCCTGGCTCTCGGCCCCATCCTCCATCCTCAGAGCCAGCAGCGCCGCATCTCTCTGGCTTCTTCCGTAGTCACGGCTCCCCTGGCCCCAGCTGGATCCCCTGCTTTCAAGGATCCCTCTTAGTACGTGGGGTCCGCCTCGGGATCCTCAGCTCAACCTCAGCTGTAGAATCCCTGCTGCCATGTCAGGGTCCGCATGCACAGGTCCCGGGGCTACAGTGTGGGCGTCTTTGGGGGCCATGACCCCTCCAACCACACCGCCCATCTCCGTTTATTTGACAAGCTGCACGCCCACTGTGGTCCTGAATTAAGGTGCTGCTGAAGACACTCCCTCCCCACCTCCCTCCCCACCCCGTCACCTGTCAGGAAGCCCCGCAGCGCCGGACCTCGCGTCGCCCGGGCCCTGCGGGCCCCTCTGGCACTTCTCTTTCACACAGGTAGAACCACCTGTTTATGGTTTGTTGTTTAAGGTTTTGCTTTTTAAAAGTTCCACAAACCGTGTGCGTTTACTGTAGAAATAAAGGAAACTCAGACACATGAAAAGAAAATGCATCCCACCTCCTCCCCCGTCCCCGCAGAAAGGATGTTCAGAGCCGGTCTCTTCCCAGCTGCTTTCGGACAGCTCGCCTCGGCGCCCCGTGCTCATTCCAGAAGGTGCTCTGAGCGTGTGGCAGGACTCTTGAGGCCAGGGTGCTGCTGCTCCAGGGCTCGGCCGCCTGGCAGGGGGACCTGGCAGCAGTGACAACTGCCCGAAGCCCGCGTTCCTTGGGGGAAGGCCTCTCTGGGCCAGAGGGGCCCTCAACCAGTGCAGCCGGCTCCCGCTCGGGCTGGGGGGCTCGAAGCGGGTGCTGGCCACTGGCGCCTGGGGTGCCCCGGCCCCCGCCTCTGGCTCATCTCTCTTCCGTCCCCACAGAGGACGGGAGGGCCAAGCTGCGGCCGGCCAAGGCCAAGAGCGACCGGAAGAAGAAGGGCTCCGGCCCCGCGCCCCTGCCCCACCCGCTCGCGCCGCCGCCGCCGCCGCCCGCCCAGCTCCCCACCGCGGGGGCGCCCCTGCTAGAGCTCCCGGCACCGGCCACCGGCCCCGAGGCCGCCGAGGAGAGCCCCGCGCCACCGCCTCTCAGCGTGGTGCCCCCCGAAGCACCCAGCGAGGAGCCAGAGGTGAAGCCGCGACCCATCATCCCCATGCTGTTCGTGGTGCCGCGGCCTGGCCCGGCGGCAGGCGACACGGGCCGCGCGTCCTGCCAGCAGGCCTCTGAGCACTTCGCCCAGCAGGGCCCCAGCTGGAAGGAGCAGGCGGCCCCCATGGAGCTGACGGGGCCCGAGGACGAGAGCGGGGCCGGCGAGGCGCAGGTAGGGGCGGTGGGCCCCTGGGGCCGGGGGTTCCGCTGCCGCGTGCTGGCCACGGCCCCGCTCGTCCAGGCGGCCCCTGTGGGCCCTGTGCCGGAGGCCGGCGGCACGTACGCGGTTTAGAAACCACCGCCGGGGGGCTTCCCTGGCGGTCCGCGGGTTAAAACTGCGCTCCCAAGGCAGGGGGCCCGGGCTTGATCCCTGGCCAGGGAGCTAGGTCCCACGTGCCACAACGAGGACCCGGCACAGCCAAGTAAACAAATGAATATTCAAAGAAAAAAGAAACCACTGTGGGTGTTGGCTGCCCCCTTCCTTGGGTCTTTTGCCCCCGACTGAGGACACTGGGGTCCCTCTGAGCTGGGCTCCACCGCCTCTACTTCCGGCCCCAGAGCTGCTCCCACAGAGGCCTCCTGTGCCATTTTAGGCTCCGTCGACCTTTTCCAAGTTGAAGATGGAGATCAAGAAGAGCCGGCGCCACCCTCTGGGCAGGCCACCCACCCGGTCCCCGCTGTCTGTGGTCAAGCAGGAGGCCTCAAGTGACGAGGGTGAGCAAGGGTGCCCCTGGCTCTGCTGCGCCCCTGCCCTGTCTTCCTCTGCCACCTGCCTGGCTTGCTCACTCCCGCCACCCCCAGCCGAGGTTGGGCCTGCAGACCCAGCCCCGGCACAGCCTCAGACCCTCCCCAAATGCTGTGGGGCCGAGGCGCCCCCTGCCCAGCCCACAGCTCCCGAGGTCAGGCCCGGCTGCCCCCAGGCCTCTGGCCTGCCCTTGTTTGCTCCATTTCCCCCGGGGCGCTTGCTCTACTGGGCCCAGGGCCTCAGATGTCGAGTGGGGCCTCTGAGGGGCAGGTGCAGCCACCTGGGCTCACACCCCAGCCCACTGCCCAGAGCCGGGGACCGTGATGCCATTTGCCTTTCTGTGACTCGGTTTTCCCATCCGTAAAATGGGGTCTTCTGGCCCCCCTCAAGGGGTCCTGCCAGGGAGGTGCACGGGGCTGAGGCCTGTAAAGCGTGCGGCCTGGTGCCAGGCACACGGTGGGTGCTGGGAATGCCAGGAACGCCGAGGCCAGTTGTCACCCAGAGCTCCTGGTGCGATGCTTTCACAGTCTCCGTGATAACCTCTGCCCCCTCCTTATCCTGTGAGAACTGAGAAGATGCCGTCAGCAGAGGCTCCTGCCCACGACCCCCAGCACATTTGCCGTGGCCCTTGTGCGTTTGTGTCCCTTCCTGGCCCTCCAGGTGAGCGAGGACCACACCTCATCCTCTCACAGCCTCGGGATCTGTTTGGATGCCTGGCGCAGAGCGTTTCCAGAGGGCAGCAACGAACGATGGTAGAGGTGCCGGCCGCATCCCCCAGGGAGAGACTTGAGAAATGGATTCAGTTAGAGGACCATGGAGCAGCATGGGGCCTGGAACTGGCCCATTTCCAAGTCCATTTCCAGCAGAGACGTCCTGGCCCTGCGGTCCCTGCACCGGAGACAGGGCTGCGTGACCCCGAAGTGGGAGAAGCTGCTTCGAGAACAGAGGAAACCTCGCCCTTGGCCGTCACCCCGCAGACACCTGTGACTCACGATGCTCCGGGCTCTGATCTCTGACCTGAGGCCAAGCTGCCCTCAGGGAAAGTCAGCGCCGGACTGGGGAGCGGCCAGTCCCAACAGAAGTGACCCTTCCTGCCTGAACCCGGCGTGCGCCTGGGAGAAGTTGGAATAAGAGGCGGTGGCACTGGAGCTGGAGGGGCAGAGACGGAGAAGCTTCTATTTAACACTCGGCTGCGAGTCGGAGTGATTATGTGCAGAAATCCTGCTAAGCCCATTTATCGTCTTCCGCTTCAGCCTTCCGTTTAAGACGCACGTGGAGTGTGAAAAGTGCCTGGGTGGCTCCTTTGATTCTGAACCTAATTTGAGGGCGAGGACGCAGAGGGTTCTAGAAGCGGGTCTCGGGCTGGAGCTCTGGGATCAGGAGGGGCCTCTCTGGAGATCAGATGCGGCCCCAGGGTCCCCGTGCATTGAGGCAGCCTCTGGCCTTACAGCTGGGACGGCTGTGGTACCAGCCATGCTGGCCCAGCTGCTGGGAAGGTTGGGGCCCCAGGGATGAGGACCCTGCTCCTTGGGCAGGTTCCTGGGGACTGCCGACGCTGATGCCAGGGCAGATGGCACCCCTGTGTCCTCAGGAAGTGCAGGAGTGGGATGTGGGGGATTGGGGACAGTGAGCTGGGAGTCGAGACCGGCGGAGGCCAGCCCGGTGACAGGTGATGGGAGGGACATCTGTCAGTGGCCTCCATCTTACAGGACATTGGGGCAGCAGTGCCCCCGCCCGACTCCCAGGGGAGTCTGTGCCTGACCTGCCAAGGCCTGACCATCCCATCTCCTGTCCCCAGATGGGATCAGCCCTGAGCTGAGGGGGGCCAGGGCACCTCCCTGCGGAGGGGCTCAGGGGCCGAGAAGTGGGGACCCATCCCCTCGAGCGCACACTGGGTGGGGTGGGGTCCTGGGTGCTGAAGCTCCTCCCCCCTCCCACTTTACTCCAGAAGCCTTCCCTTTCTCTGGGGACGAGGACGTGGGTGACCCCGAGGCCTTGAGGTCTTTGCTGTCCCTGCAGTGGAAGAACAAGGCGGCCAGCTTCCAGGCTGAGAGGAAGTTCAACGCGGCGGCCGCCCTGACGGAGCCCTACTGTGCCATCTGCACCCTCTTCTACCCATACAGCCAGGTGAGCCGGTGCCGAGGGGCCCCCGGGCCACGCCAGGCCGGGCAGCATCCGCCTGCTCCCGATGGCGCCAGGGCTCACTCTGCCTGAAGGGAATCCTTTCCCCCTGAAGGGAGGGTGATGGGGACCAAGAACCCATTTGCTGTTGGAGCCACAGTAGGCTCGGTGGAGAGCCCGACGGAAGGCCCCTGTGAGGGCTGCGGGGAGAGAGCCCAGGGTCTGCGTTTCATTGGAAGGTAATTTATCAATGTGCCTCAAAGAGGATGAGAGTGCAAGGAAGCATCTCAGATGGCTGTCCTCTAAGAGGCCCTCAGCCCAGCCCAGGGGGCAGCGCAGGCAGGGGGCCCGGGGGTGGGTCCAGGTAGGCGCCTGCGTGGTGAACGGGGGCTGGCGGTGGGGGGCTGGGGCTGGGCGATGACCCACGCATGGCCTGGCGCCACGCGGCCGCCAGCTCTGTCCTGAGTTTCCAAGTTGTGATCGTGGTCTTTCCCCGCACTCTGCCCTGTACCATCCACCACCACGTCCTCCCGGTTTCCTCCTTAACCTGTTTCCTGCCGTGTCCCCCTCCCCCAGCCCTGACCACTGCCTGCCTCCTGCCCTTCCTGTTAGCACCTCACCACAGCCACGCACGGCCCAGCTGGAAAGCCCGCCAGGCTCACCACGGTCCCCGGCCTCTGCACATGCCCCACAGCCATCCTCTCCTGTGATATCTGCCCCCGCACGCACACATAGCACGCTCCGTGCTGTCCCCCAGCATCTCCCACACACCCACCCAGGCCTCTCCCTTGCCAGATGGATTTCTGTTCACTCTTTGATTCCACCCAGCTGCCACCTCTTCCAGGAAGCCTTCCTGGGCCTGCTATCCCAAGCTGACTCTGGCATGCCCCCCAGCTTCCCCCACCCGCCTCTGCTCTTGCTCCTGCCCTCTGTTTATCAGCCCTCGGAGGACAGGGCCGGGTCTCACTTGTTTTGGGGTCCCCGGCTTCCAGCCTAGTGCCTGGCATCTTCCACGTATTAGCTGAGCTAGCCAAGCTCTGTGCCCCGTGCTGAGGGTGGCACACCCATCTCGAGGGCTCTGCCACTCAGAGCTGCCAGGACCTGTGGTCCCTAAGTGAGCCAACATCTGGTCGTGGAAACAAGACGAAACGTCCAGACAGACAAGACGTCTCTAGGCACGCCCCTCCTCAGCGCCGCTGGAAGTCATCACTGGGAACACTGGCTTAAGAGGCGAATCTCCTTAATCCCGGTTGCTAAGTGAAGCATTGTGACTCAGCTTAATCACGTCCTCGGTATCAGCGGGCCTTGCAGGGGCTGCCGCTTCCACAGTCCGGAGCCCTCAGAGTCGGGGACCAGGCTTCGCTTGTCCCGTATCATGGGAAGGGCTGTGGCTGGACATTCTGCCTGTTTGGAAACCAGCTGGTCCCCTAATCCAAGTTGCCAGATGGGGCGCCCCAGGGCCCCACCACCGCACACACACAGTGCATCAGGCCAGTGGTCTCTGGTGGCCTCTTTCCTTATGCCCTGAGCCGGTCAGAGTCCTTCCATCACTGGGTGCTGGGGAGTCTCGTCTGGGAGCCCCACCACCCTGTGACAGGCCCAGGGTTGCTGGATCCCGATGCCATGGGCAGGATGTTTTCATCACGGTCTCTTCATCTGGTTGGATTTGGGGGGACTGGGGTACAGCCGTCATGGGGCGCGTGTGAGTCACAGGTGGGGAGAACGCCCCACATAGATACACAGATAACATGGCATCAGGTGATGGTCAGGACCACGAGGACAGACAGAGCAAGGAAGGCCCGGGGGCCGCTGGTTATGTGAGCAGAGATCTGAGCGCCCCGGGCAGTGGGAACGGCACATGCAAAGGCCCCGGGGCAGGACCGTGCCTGGCGTTTGGGAGGAACAGTGAGGGGGGGCCCTCGTGGCCGGAGCAGAGCGAGCCAGGGGCAGTGGGATGAGGGCGAGAGGGATGAGGGCAGCAGGGCGGTGTCTGTGCTGTCTGCAAGTAACCCTAAGTGGGAGGGCTTCTGGGTGGATGGGACAGAGTCTGTCTGCTTTTGGGGAGGATCTCTCGGGGGCTTCTGAAGCAGGGTTGGGGGCTGGGAGGGTACGTCAGGGACACCCATGGTGGGGCAGTTGCAGGTGTCCTGGTAGGGGTGCTAGTGCGGCAAAGAGCAGCCTGGGGTGTGCTGCTTGGGGGCGGAGGGGCGGAGGATAGACTCAAGGGTGTCAGGGGTCCCTGCCCGCCCCACGCTGGGCTCTCCACTGATGGCGGCCCCCCTCCTGCAGTCCCTACAGACCGAGAAGGAGACTCCCCAGGCCTCCCTCGGGGAGGGCCCCTCGGCCACACCGCCTTCCAAAAGCGGTCAGAAGACGCGGCCGCTGATCCCCGAGATGTGCTTCACCTCCAGTGGGGAGAACACAGAGCCGCTCCCCGCCAATTCCTACATTGGCGACGACGGGACCAGCCTGCTGATCTCCTGTGCTAAGTGCTGCCTGCGGGTCCATGCCAGTGAGTGCTGGGGTGGGGGGAGAGCCGAGGGGCCCACCACACAGCCCCGCTTCACCCTCCCGAGACAGCCACCCTCGCGTCTGCGGGACAGGGAAGCCCCTTCCTCTGGCTGCTGCTTCGGGCCTATAGCGGGACCTGGCGTCATGGGGTGGGGGTCTTGACCTTTGGGGGCAGGTGTCCTGCCCTTCCCCCTGGCCAAGGCAGGACTGCCTGGTCAGCCTCCTTCTGGGAGGTTCCACCGAGGCCGGCCCTCCCTGCCCAGGGCCTGGGAGGCAGCAGGAGATCAGGTACCTGTCAGGGGCTGTGACGCTTTTAAACTCCACACTTCGGGGCCGGAGTTGGAACTGATGGTAGAGCTGAGGTTCTAGAGTGGTTCAGGGGTCGGATTTATCTCTGCCGTCGGTGACTACCCTCCCCCAAGCACTGAAGGCCCAACCATAGCCTGAGACAGGAAGATGGATGTCTGTCTCCTTCTTGGGTGGGAGGGGGCAGCGAATGTGAGATTAAGCTCCCAGGACAGGGAGAAAGCTTCCTGGAGCCGCTTAATTTTGCGTGTGTACATCTCTGTCCAGCGCCCGCCCTGCAGAGGCCTGCCTGGAGCTCACTCTGTCTCTTGGCTGGGAGCCCGTCTGCTCTGCCTGGCCGGGCCCGGCTGTGAGACGTGCTCCTGGGCAGACGGGCCCCCCGGGGTCGGGGTTTGGGCAGCAGCCGAGCTCACCACCCTGCCGCTCTCGAGGGGCCTGAGGTCCAGCCACACTGGGGGAGAGGAGCCTCCCTCATTGCCCTTGGGAGGCAGAGTCCTCAGCGCAGGCATCTTCCTTGAGCCCTGGCACCAGACAGAGGGGGACACCCCCAGGCCTGACCTTGGCTGAGGGCCCCAGGGGATGGAGCAGGGGGCCAGGTGTGTGCTCTTGGGTACCTTGCTGTCCCTCAGGGTGCCCCCTTCCTGCTGCCTTGCTTTCTCCCTGTCCTTCCCCCAGTGACCTCTCAGAACTGGCCAATGGCCCCTCTAGCCCACAGAGCCCGTTTGGTGGGTAGCGAGCCCCGGCTGGCTCAGGGTCCCCGCAGGGCTGCTGGGCAGTGACCCCGGGTGAGGCAGGGTCCTGGGGCAGGCTGTGCCTTCTGCCCTCGCTCTGGGGCATGGTCCTCCGCCCCTTCTCCATGCCCCCTCCCCCATGCTCCCTCCGCGACTGTAAAGCCGGACCACATCCCAAAGCCACCACCTTGGTAACCCAGAGCCTCCGACTGCGCTTTTGGAAACGGTGGACTCTGGGCCCAGCTCTGCTGCTCTGAACTCCGGACTCCCCGAGGCCCACCTTGCATCTCACACCACCGCTCGGCCACCTTCCTCTCTCTCAGCTCAGAAGAGCCTGGGCGAGCCTCCCAGACTGGGGTAGGGGGGCGAGGGCCAGGCTGAGCCTCCAGACCCGGCAGGGCTCCCGCTTGGGGGCCAGCTCTCCTTCCCCGCGTCAGTTTCCAGACTTTCTCCGGCTCTGTGTGCAGTGGCCCGGATTGAGGTAGAGCGGTTGGTGAGCACAATTACCCTCAATGCCGCAGCCGCCCTTCACTCCGCCCGGCGCGGGGGGCGCCGCGGGCAGCCGCGATGACAAGATGCGCTGGCCGCTGTCTTCCAGGTTGCTACGGCATCCGCCCAGAGCTGGTCAACGAGGGCTGGACGTGTTCCCGGTGTGCGGCCCACGCCTGGACTGCGGTAACTCGCCCCTGCAGCTGGGGTGGTGCTCTGAAAGCCGGCGCGGCCCGTGGGGGAGCCGGTCCTGGGCCCCGGGCTCGCCCGATCCCGCAGGGTGACCTTGGGCTGGCGGCCTCACCTCCCTGGGTCTCGGGTGGAGCCCGACGCACTCTCTCGGCCCATCGCTTCCTGTGGCCGCTAGTTTGAAATGTAAGGACCGTGAGCGGGGGACGGAGCAGGTCCCAGAGCAGCAGGCGGGCGGCGCCGCCCTGCACACCCCTCACCTAGCTGTTGTCTGGTCCCTGTAGGAGTGCTGCCTGTGCAACCTCCGGGGAGGCGCCCTGCAGATGACGACTGACAGGAGGTGGGTTAGAAGGGACTCCCCTCCTGGGGGGTCCTGAGGGGCGATTCGGGGCGGGGGCAGGACCGGCAGGAGCAGACGAGGTCCCCTCGGCCTGGCTAGCCGGTGCGCACAATCGTGAGATGACCCCAAGGGGACGGAGCGCACCTGTGACCCCTGACCCCACCCGCTCCGCCCCCCCCCGC